AGTCTGGCCCTTTTCCCATTTGGCCTTCATTTGAAAGGAAGGCTAATTCTTCTAATAGTAGCTCTATAGTCACTGGAAGTCTGATGTGTCAGGAAGCTACAGCTACTTGCTCCCATGAAACATTTCAATTTTGTAACTCAGTAATAGATATAAATAAAACAGATGGAATTTTTGTACTCCATTAGTGTTTTGCAAACCGTGTTCATGCGCTAGCATTTCATTTCCAGGGAAGGATGCTCTTCTCATCAATATTCATCTCTATTTCCCTCTTTAGCGAAATGAGCAAATCATGCCTCTGTCGCGGATAAAATTTGAGCTTCATATTGTTTCTTTTGGTAATCCAGTTTACTTCAATTATGTAGATCAAGTTGAGCCCAGCTAATGAAACCAGTAAATAGAGCTCTTACGCGTGTTTTCTCCTAAATGTATTCAAAATCATTTAATACATTCTCACTTCTTAAGGTCTCAAGAACAGGTGAAGAAATAGGTCTTCTCTTCCATTACGAGGCCATAAACATGTAGTGTCTAAATTCTAGTACTTGTTCAGTAACAGTTTATATGAAAAGATTTTAAATGCACCTGGCAACATGTCAGTGATCCATGTGAGCAAATATTCAACAGAAGGGACAGAAACAGCCACACAACACCTGCTTTAATTACTGGTAGTCTCCAAACCCCTTAACGAGTGGGATCTGAGGCTAAGATATGAGCAACACGGCCAATGTGTAGAGGGTGTTGCTACCATTCTTCACAGCAAGACTCAGAGCCCTGTGTGGTGCTACAGTGTTCCTTAGGAAAAACAACCACCAATGGTCTGGTGGTTTATAGACTAACAAAACAGGTAGCTGGGATCATGAGATTTTGTGGGCATAGCCCACTTCTCTGGTCATCTGTGCCCATCAAAGCTCATGATCCCATCTACCTGTTTTGTTAGTCTATAAAGTGCTACCAGACCATTTGTTGTTGTTTTTTCTGTAACAGACTAACTCGGCTACCCCCTGAAGCTAGTGTTCCTTAGGTTAGCTCAAATGAGGTGAGCTAATTCTTCCCTTGCCATAACATCTTGTGGAGAAAGACCGGAGGTCGTGGGAAAGAGAAAACAACCAGAGGGGAAAGCAGAATTACAATGGCCAAGCACAGCAGTTATGTTTCTGCATGATCCACAACCTCAATTGCCCAATGGGGATGGATTGCACCTCGTATTCACAAGCTAAACACCCCTGTCCTAATCTTGGTGCAAAACATGCCTTGTGAGGTCCCATTCGAAAACTAACTGCTCACTGGTCAATAATTTGATGAAAGGTGGGTAGCAACATTATATACAATGTTATGAGTTCTCCCTGAATGACGGTGGTAGCACAAAGACAAACCAATGAAACTTCAGTCACACAGGTCTTAAAGAAATTTGTGTTTATCTCAATTTACACATAAATTGTAAACACGGTCCTCAGGTAGCGCTAGGCAGAAGACAAGGCACATCTGCATTTCAGCAAACAGGTGAGAAGAAAGACTACAACCAGACACCACACCACTGCTTTTACTGTTTGAATGAATTGTAACTAAGCATAGCACAATGTATTTCAAAGGGTGGCTACTAGAAAAGTGAGGGGCAAAATGCCACAACTTTTCTCCCGATGCCCTCTCTTTTTACACCAAAGACGGCCAAAACAAAATTATCGGTTGGAATTTGGGAGCAGACGAGACTGGACTTCAACCTGAACCAAGTTTGGGAAGTTTAGAAAGCATTTTCATCTCGATTTTCTTGTAACCTATTCTGATTGTAATCCTTTTACTGGTACTCACTTAAAATCTCTTTATAGCTCAACTAGAAGATTGATCTGGCGCTGCTCCGGTTATTTGTTGTTTGGATAATACAATGAAAACGTCCCTGCTCCATATAAATCATTGCTGTAGGGTGGGACTGGGGGGAGGGTTCAGTAGCAGTTCAGTAGTAGTTCTGGGGAAAAGGACCATCCCAGCCATCTCTCACCAGAGCAGCTTGGGGCCAGGTGAGAAGCGCCGCTCCACGGCGGCTGCAGGCACAGCTAAGGGAGGGGTGCAAGTCCTCCAGCTGGGGCAGGTCCAGAAGTTACTGACTTTTGGGCAGAGTTGGTTTGGCTTTTGGAATGTCCTATCTCAAAAAATTTACTATGCCCAGAAAATGGAGAGTGCATCTTGGGGATACAGAAAACACCACTGGTTTGAGTGCTATCTATATCCATACTTTGTCATGCTTTTCAATACGTGCTCCAGGGGATTCAAAAGTTGTGAAGTTGAAACCATTGTAAGACATGTATTGTATTAATGTCATAAAAATAAATTCACATTGTACAGTACCCTCTTACCAGATTCCTATGTCACATTGCATCGTAAGAGATATATCAAACATTTGCCAAATAGACAAGTGAACCCCAAAGAGAACAAAAAAATAAAATGTTAGGTGTTAGATTCATGCTTATCTCCCCAAAATTCCTATCTGCAACGTTAACCCTCAGCATTACATGCAACACATAGGAACAGCATTTCAGCTGGAAACATGCTTTTCAAGTGGAGGGTGTCCCTTTATCAGAATCTGCATGGGAACATTCAGAGACCCTGGCTGTGCCATTCGTGATTTTGTTGCAGCTCAGCTGTGATCAGTCTGGAGATAAGCAGCAACCCCCACAAAAAGGGACACTCTGTGGAAACACTCAGCACACTCAAAATCCCTAACATTGATCTGAAGCACTTCAGAAGCTGCTAGAACAGCCCAAGTATTTTGATGAAAAAGGTTATGCACAGATGAACAGTGCCCCCTCTGTGAAATCTGAGGAACACACAGCAGTGACGGCATCGCAACAGACAACGAATTCGCATTTCAGTGGTACACACCGAGACACAAACACAGCCGTGCTTCTGATTTTTCGGGAGCGTCCTTTTGCTAGCATCCGAAGGAGCAAACATGGTGCAGAAAAGGGTGACTCAGTTACAGTGATTCCAGTTAACCATTTGCATTACAGCAGTGCTCCCAGAGCTCAAATCAGAGCCCAGATGTGCTCCATGGTATTTAGAACACAGGCGAACACGGTCCCTACCCCACGAGTTAGCTAATTCATAACCCAATACCACCCCAACTGGTTGGCAAGTTAAGATGTAAACCTACTTGCCGCTCTCTTACAGATAATTCAGTGTGGTTTTAATGTTCTCTAGCAACCTCAATGTCATTCCAAGATCAGAAAATGAAAAGAAATGGACAGAAAAAGTAGAAAGAAGCAATTAAAAAAAATAAAAATAAACGCCAATCTGGCAGAGTTAGGATGAAATAAGGTCAAAGAAATTCTCTGACTGCTGAAAAGCGGTGTTTCATACTAGTGGCTAGAAAACAGTGGTTATCCCTTAATCAGAGATCTTTTTTCCCTTCCAATTTTGTATATGTGGGCAAGAGAGGACTGTTTTTTTTGAGAACAGGGTTGGGGGTTTCTAACCCTACCTGCAGACTGGTGAAAACCAGAGGAGCTCTGGGTGTAACAAAGCAGGCAGATTTCCAAAGCCAGGACCATTCCCAAGTTACAAGCCAGGTAAGTTTAGTGCAAGTCACAGCCTAGTCACGGGCAACAAAAATACACAGCCTGCGACCTGTCTGAGACTTGTACTATAGACCCTTAATCAGTAGGGACTAATGGGATGTAACGTACCTACTGAAGCATTTGTCACTATGACGCTGGGTGGATATGCATGGGCCATATTCAGCATTTCCTAGCGGTCTGCAGCTGGCCCGCCCCACGCAGGAGCCCTCAAACAAAAGAAAGCTAGTTGCCTCCAACATCACTCAGCTGGCAGCACAAACGTTTGCGAGGAGACGATAAATTGGCATTGCAAACAGGAAGTGCCACACTCTCCATGCAGCTGTAGTCACAACGTATACCGGAGTGACGGAAACAGGCAGTCTTTAGAGACACCGGCTGAGGGAGTGATACTCCTTTGTCTGCCCCAGCTTGGGCTAGCGCCGCGTGCTCTAGAAGGAGCTAGGCATTAGCTCCATTCAGAAGCTGCAGTGAGCGTGGAATCCAGCAGCCCACGTGTTAAATGAGGATGTCACTGTGAGCCCACAGCATGGGGAGAGCACTTCAGGCCCACTGATTTCTGGCATTTCAAGGTGTTAGCGCTGCCCTAAGTGGCCTGGGAGCCGCCCGCTTGAGAAACAAACGGTCTGAGTTTCAGGCCCCCCTGCATTTAAGTTAATGGCAGGGAGCCGAGAACAGGCATCTCTCAAGTTACATCCAAGGCTCATGCTGCTGTACACAAAAGGGAATGAATTCGAAGGGACTGATCATGAGGTGTAATTATAAAATGCACCGTGCTGTACTGAGAGTTAACTGCATGGGCAGGAGTACATGGGGGTGTTGCCTGCCACAGGAAGGGCCAGCATGTCCTATAGCCTCTGTCCGTGTCCGTGGACCCCTGGTGGGCTGCAGTGCTATGGCAGGGGGTCCGCGGAAAGTTGGGGGCCCCGGGCCGCCAGCCAGTCCGCGCTGCTCCCCGAGTGGGCCGAGGGGCGTGCAGACTGCAGGCACAGCTATATTGCTGGGGGTGGGGGTCTGTAACATTTTTAAATCGGAAGGGGATTCGGAAGGGGGTCTGCTGGAAAAGGTTGGGAGCCACTGGCCTAGGTCACTCCACACAGAAGGAGACTTTACCGTAACAACTTAGCCACTTGAACGTCCACATGGGGGCAGCATGTGCACAAACATGGACGGCACCTCGCAGGGCGCAAATCTTTCTGTAAGTAATGGTAAGTCACACCTAAGCAGGGCTTGTGCGCCTGTGGCAGGCTCCTGGAGCTGTGCTGGGAGCAACCCTCAGGCGTTTCCCTCTGGGCACTCCGGAAAGGAGCATGCTAGGAGTTACAGGAGGGAATGGGTTCAGGGGCACTGGGGACTAGAGCCGTACAAACGACTGCATTGTTCATTATATTACAGATCTGAAAACAACCGAATTTCAAAGTGTTGTGGGCAGAACTTTCAATCATTTCGGCACAGAATTCACCAAGGCGTCAGCCGCTTTGTTCAAGGGAGGCAAATAATCACCCCTCGAAAGGCGTACTCATGCCTAGCACAGCCCTGCCGGGGCACCACTAGGTCAGTCAATGGAAGGCACAGCCAGAGTCCCATCAAGCTAGATCAGAGAGGGGCAAACTGCGGGCCGTGGGTTGCATCCAACGCAGCAGACACTTCAGTGTGGCCCCCAAGCTCCTACTAGGGAGCAGGCTCAGGATAGCCTTGCCGGGAGGAGCCAGTCCAAGCCCTGGGCAAAGCAGCCAGCCCCCAGTCCAATGCTCTGGAAGACCAAAGTTAGTGAGCAAAACTGCTAATCCCCCCAGCACCTGGGCCCTGGCTCTCTTAGGGCAAACGGAACCTCCAGACAGCCAACTGCAGCTGTCAAGTACTCTCTGGGATAGTACCAACATCCCCCGGCTACCGAAGAGCTTACTGTAGATGTTCACTGACAATCTAGCCCAAAAAACACGGCCCTCGCTGGCTGACTGGTTCAGTAAACTCTTCTGGATTCTCCCTCTATTGAGCCAATTAAAGAAAAGCCCTTTAAAAAAATGTCCAGAAACAGCAATAGTCTGAAATCTTTGACTAATGGCGTGTGAATGCTACAAAACCTGCTATAGAGCTTGATTAAGATTAATGAAGGTTCCTAATTTATTTCCTGGAAAGATAGTACTGGTAGAGTAACTGTGTTCCTGTCAGCCACCCCAACTGTCACAAGCTGCAATCCTTCCCCTACATTCCCTTTAGCTTCCTTCTTGTTCTTGCTCTCCCTGAGCAGTAGAGACCTGAAAGCAGAATTGGAAGGGTGTGCCAGAGCCTAAAAGGGGATTCCCTTCCCTTCCCCTCCCCACCTTTAAGACTGGCTCCATTATAATTTAACAGGAAGCTTTGGCATGCTGTCATCTCCCAACAAAAGGGGACAGTGAAAGATACAGGGTAGCTAACTGCACACGACAACATCGGATTTTTAATTCTTTCAGCTCTCAGCTTGATACAGCTACTGTTTGGGGGCAGGAGGAATGACAAGGAGGTAACTTGCACATCAAACACAATTTTCCAAAGCTCAAAAAGCCACTGTGCATGGCAAAACTCTTATATTATCAAATAGCCACGCAGTTCTATGGTTTGGGGACTGACTAATGGGATAGGGAGCTCTCATTTATGGGTCTCTGGTTGAAACCAGCTCAAGTTGGAAGTAACCCAAAAGCTACAACCATCTGATGTCCAGCGTTCTAAAAGCTGGTGGTCCCCAGACCAGATTAGTGGCAACTATCCAGCTCACAAAAGCTTATCTAGACCACAGAAATCTGCTATCCGTGTATCCATCGTCCATCAGAGATAAACACAGTCTAGGAGCAAATACAGGTTGTTGTTTTTAAAAGGTTCAAGACAATAAACGTTGCCCTTTGACAGCAACACTGAATTGGATTAGGAATACTTACTAAAGCCTCAAGTAATGAAAACTAACATCGTTTTGTTCCAGCCAAGGTCCCTTGTCGAACTTCAGATACTCAATATCTTCAATGACCTGGAAGAGGGGGACACATCACAAGAGTTCATCAAAACTTCTATCTTCAGTCAAAAAAAATAAAAGTCAATCAAGCAAACCAACAAAGCCATCCCCACCATTTGTGCAATGTCGCTACACCGATTATTTTCAGGAATAAAGGCATTACGCAAGAGGGTTTTTCTTGCGCAAGAAGGGGCAGCGTAGACAGCTCCTTCTGGCACAAGAGCCTCTTCTGCAAAAATGGTGGCTCATTAGGTATGCAAATGAGGCTCGGCAATATTCCACACCCTCATTTGCATATTTCTCGCGCAAGAAGCCACGAGTGTAGACATAGCCTTTAGGTAATAAAGAGCCTCTTGTAACAAACAATTCTACCTTGATCCTCATGTTGACTAGGACCAAGAGTTACTTTACAGAAGTCTGACTAAATGAATGTTCATCATTTGACTTTGAACACCGCAATGAACTTTTACCATTTAGCTGATGTAAACTCATAAACAGAGATGCGTGATAGTCTCAAAACATTACATTATCTGCAGGGGGTGAGAAGGAACTGGGGCAGTTATTTGAGGCCACCCTTAACGAGCTACAGGCAGGGCCACACGACAAAGGAAATGAGTCCTGCGCCTATGGGGACCACTAGGTGAGTTTTTCAAATGCGCACGCCTGAGTGGACTACACCTCTGCAGCCCTTCGAAGAACCACCTTTGTCTCCCGACCATTTCCAGCAATCGGCTCTTGCTCAGGGATCCCCCGGCCATAGAACCAAAGCTGTGAATGGTTCTGCACTATTGTAGAAAGCCTGCATCGTGTAGATATTCTGCCTGCCCCCCAGCCTGCGCTTTACTGCCAAGCCAGCGCCACTTACGAACTGTCATTTTTTGTAACGTTTTGCTCCTTATATGAACTCATGGAGCACGAACCTTCGCATTATATAACTGCCTGCGTTTTGCTGTCTTTGATTGCGCTAAATATTGCTTGGGGACTGGTGACAAAAAATGTAAGACAAGTTGTTTAAATGCCCCTTCCTTATTTTTGAATTTTCAATTCCAAACACTCAACTTAGATCCCATATGTTCCACTTAAGAAGCGTGAAAGCAATTATTTTTTCATGCCGAGGTAACTCTTTAATCACTGCCATGGAATGGCTGGCGAAAGAGCATCACATTAAGGTCTAAGAACATCATGAATCAGCATGTGTGAAAACAATCAATAGTCCACTCATTTGTATGTACTCAACTGACTGCAGGAAAGAGCATTTTATCTGCAGCATCTGATCCGTATCGCCTCACTGTGTTACTCCGGCTGGGTGACGGTGTGCATGTGAATGTACTTTTGTGCATAGGATCTGAGGCTTGCAAATGATTTTGTCCATCAGCTTTTAAGGAAAATTTCACTCTAATGGGAAAGAAACTCATAAGGGAAACCATAGCACAAGTTCCTTCTAAGCAGAATATACACCCATGTTTGTGGTTCCTACCTGGCATCTAATCTGATCAGGTCAATGCTTTTCTTGCAGTCTATGACTGCAAATAATAAATTCCTACTCTACTTCAGACTTGCTCAAACCCAAATTAAGCACAGGTATGACATGGGTCATAAATACATTCCCTGGATATGTACCGTAATGGCGTAATATCGTTGGCCTGGAAGAATATCTGTTTGAGCAATAAGAGTGTTAGACTAATTGAAACCCCAATTTACAGAATTACAATAAAACCATCAGCAATGGCATTTGCTAAAAGTTACCAGGAAATAGTTTTTTCCTCCTAAATCCTCTCCATTTTCCCTATGCAGCATGTGACTGCCCCCATCTCCAGCCCTACAACCTGGGATCATCTTTTGATTCCTCCCACCCCTTCCCACACATCCAGGCCCTGTCAAATCTTGCTGTACCTTCCTCCACATCATATTGCAAATCCAACTGTTCCTTTCATTAGCACTCTGATGAGTTCCGCTCTTCTTTATTTCAGCCATCCTCCCTCGCATCTGCCGTCCACAGCATCTCTCCCGAGTGCACCCAAGCTCAAGTTCTGAGCATGTTATTCCCTGCCTACTGAGCTGACCACATTGCGAGCCACCCTGAATCGCTCCCCTGCCCCTCACCTCCCATTTAAGACCTTTTCCTTTAGAACCATACACGAATCTGCTCACTTCTCTCATTCTCCAGCCCCACATCCACCTTGCTACCCTCATCTCAATGCTACCTCCTTTCTGCTGCCCGGTGCGTGCTCTCCACACTGTGGCTCGCTGAGTAATCACCTTCTCCTTCATCAAAGCTCTTATGAAGTTGGATATTAGGAAAAACGATTTCCCTAGGAGGGTGGTGAAGCAATGGGATGGGTTCTCTAGGGAGGGGGTGGAACCTCCATCCCCAGAGGTGTTTAAGTCTTGGCTACACAAAGCCCTGGCTAGGTTGATTTAGTTGGGATTGGTCCTGCCTTGGGCAGGGGGCTGGACCTGATGACTCCTGAGGTCTCTTCCAGCTCTATGATTCTATAAGACTCATTTCTTTTGTGGCACCCGCAGGAAGCAAGTTTTCGCAAGAACCATCTTCAGCTACCATCTCCTGTGTGCTTCCCAGCATGTTCATTTTACTAATTTAGACTAAGATATTTAGGGCAAGGGCTGACTCATTTCTGTTCCTTGAAGCATGTTAGCAACCCTTTAGAAACTGTTTTAGGGTATGTCTACACTACAAAGTTAATTCGAACTAACAGACGTTAGTTCGAATTAACTTTGATAGGCGCTACACAGGCAAACCGCTAGTTCGAACTTAATTCGAACAAGCGGAGTGCTTAATTCGAACTAGGTAAACCTCATTCTACGGGGACTAACGCCTTGTTCGAATTAAGTAGTTCGAATTAAGGGCTGTGTAGCCACTTAATTCGAACTAGTGGGAGGCTAGCCCTCCCCAGCTTTCCCTGGTGGCCACTCTGGGCACCACCAGGGAAACTTGTCTGCCCCCCTCCCAGCCCCAGAGCCCTTGAGCCCTTAAAGGGGCACGGTCTGGCTACGGTGCCCCTGCCAGGTGCAAGCCTGCCAGCAGACCCTGCACCTGGCATGGCACGAACCAGCCACCCGCTGCCACCCAGCCCTCCGCCTCTTCCTGGG